CTTTCAAATAAACTTCTAAAATCAAATAATAAAATAAATAAAACAAAGAAAACAATATACATATGTATATATATAAAAAAAACGAAAAGGGATTTTTTAACCTAGCTTAGTCGCTAATAGAAATCGGAAACAATAACGTTTTGTTAATGAGTTAGATCGTTTTTCGTAAACCTAGTTTCGTGTTTGTTTTTTTTTTGGTCTACTGGAAGCAATATCTAACCTTTGTGATTGATGGTAAGAACGGCGGACGAGTGTTGGTTGGTCTCGTGTTGGTTCTCTTTGCTAGACGAGTGCTGCCGCATGCCGCGCCAACTCCGTCCGAGTAGTCACTAAAAAAACCGGATTTGATCCGTCTCCCCTGGCCGCGACTTGTGGTAGGTGTATATGTGCGTCATCAGGGAGTTTCTCGAGCAATACACTCTCTCGCATACGGTACACCGGTACTCCTCCTGACGCTCAGCGTGTTTGTCAGCGATATGTCTCTTCAGGGAGGCCTTTGAGCACAGTACCTTCCCGCATAGTGTACACGAGAATAACTTTTTACCTGGAAACAGATCGGAAAAACAAAAAACAAATGTGGGGTTGGTCCCCGGGCGCGTACAAAACAAAATAATCATCCTAACTTTTTGGGGAGTTTTTGATATTCTAATTGGTAACCCTTTTATACAATCGGTTGATATAATCGACAAAAGATGTTTTTGAAAATCAAGTGTTTTTTTTTTGAAAAATAATACAAAATGAAAAAATAAAAAAACGTGAAAATAATAAAATTGAAATGAAACAATAATAATAATTAAAAAAAAAACGAAAAATGATGGCAAAGCTGCGGAGGCCGATGACAGGGTGTTAGAAACAAACATGCAGAGAAATGGCGGGAAATTAACGAAAAAAAAAAATCAAAATGGCCGGGCTTGGCGAAGCATGATTAAAACAAATAATAATCTACATTGTGTTACATACAAGCCGAACAAAATATGTTCTATAGGGCAAGGGGGATGTTCTAAATAAAAAACGACAATAAATTCTGAATAATTGTTTTTATTTAAAAACGACATACCATCGATTAGGATTTATGAAGTTCTGTTTAACGGTTACATGTTACACTTTTATGAGTAGTTTACCACGATTATATATTAAAAAGTAAAGAAGAAAAAAACCTATTTTTATTATTACTAGATATGAATAAGTGATTGATGTTCTCCTAAAGTGTTAGATGCAGTCCATTACTTTTGTGGCAATCACCGATATTCATTTTAGCGTTGCATTTCTGAATGTCTCCATTGTCTCTGGATTTTTAAAAACAGGATAGAGTCGATAACGCACTGCGAAAACTTGACGTTTTAAATTGGAAGACGAATTACTTTTGTTTTTTTCTTTTTTTTTTTCGAATTTCAAACGCCTCGGAATTCACGTAATGGACTGGTTTATAAATATGCCAATAATCAACAACGAAAAAAAAAAGATCGCCGAATCGATAAACGACCTAAAATATATAAAATTTTTCAATACAACAACCAATAAATTAATTTGGGATACACCTTATAAAATAAGTAAAAAAATTCCAACAAGAAGTATAAAGAACACATTAGACATAGTCGCCGGGCACATAGCGTGCGCGTTTTGAAATAATAATAAAAAAAATCATTACCTTAACATTTTAGATAGATAACAGGTCACAGAAACAGTCTTAAACTTGCTAAATTCCTAACTAGGGTGTTGTTTTGACAGGGATGTGTCCTGCTCCTTAGAACACGGTGTAGTTCTTAGCCCTCAAATCAACATTGAGATCCGTTATACACCTTATACCGAAAGAAGATCGTAAATTTCACAATAAATTTCGAGTTCAATAATACCAAAAAAATTTATCACGTCCGTTCACGCGCCATATCCTGATGCCGCCATTTTATAAAATTACTTTTTTTTTTTCCGTAAATACATTTTTTAACTACATAATACGCCTAATAGTGTACAATTTCGAACTCGTTCTTAGTCTAATCAGTCTATAGCGCATTATTACTTTTGGCATTTCATCCGAGAAAGACTTTTATTATTAACGATAATTTACTTGTGCCACAACAGAAATCGCCGACTATTTTTACCGCACTGCCATTGCAGCACATCCCTGTAGAATTAAAAATAAAAAAAGTAATGTAGACACTATTACCTATTACAAATTCAGATAAACCCCTTATTCTAAAATAGTCAACTAAGTTATTATTCCCATACCCAAATTAACAAGAAGAACTACCACTAAAGTACTAAGACAAAAAATAATTAATAAAAAAAACAACAAATCTACGTTCTTACTATTTCAAAACTCTGCAATTATCTGCAAATAAAAACTTAACACTTTTTCTTTTAGTAAAAAACACGGAATGTTGCGAAAAGATTACTTTTTTGAGAGAGAAAGAGAGAGAGAATTTTGAATTCCGTACCAAATTTTTATCTACGAGTTTTTTCTAAAGCACGTTTTTTTTTAATTTAGCACCAAATCACTAGTCTTCCAATTGGACAAAATTATGAATAAAGCCTAAATTGTGCGCAGACGAGCGGCGAAAACGCGGCGTTAGCGTAAAGAGCGGTTTTTAAAACGCATCAAAATAATTTCGACCGTCAAGCGTCATCCGCGCGTCCCTACAACTAAATAAGCAATATTTAACTAGCAATAACAACAGAACGATATAACTTGTTAGTATTATAAAAATAATAATTTTAGTAAGCCTCTCATACTTCTTAATTAAGTGTAAAGCAAAAAGTGTGTTTCAAACACATTTCTGAAAAACTTCAGTTGTATACCGCGAATTATGTCTTTTATATGTGTATCATAATGTCAGAACACAATATACGTAAAGCAGGCACTAATTAAATGTAAAATAATTGTTATACAATTAATCAAGTTTTATGTAGATAACCTAATTAGCCTATTTAAAAAATGAAGTAACAGTGACTGAAAATCGGAAAATGTGATGATCATTTAACTAGAAAAATAAAATTACATTAAAAACACATTTAAATGAAAACGCCCAGATTATATGAAAGTAATTAACAATTCAGTTGCTGTTGAAAGTATATGAACATAACTTAAATAATTGTTTATAGCTATTGTTATAATTATGTATATATGTATATGAAACTACTAGCTATTTGAAGTTTGGCATTTAATATCTATTATTTATGGCAAGCAAAAAGGTTATTACAATATGGAACGTTATTTTCTCGAAAAATTCACAATATTTAGTTAATTAATTTAGGAACATTAAAACACTGAGTTTTTAGTTTAAAATTATTATTCTATTACCTATACTGGTAGAATTTTTATAACAAAAAAAAACTAGGGAGAGACAGTGAGTTTTATTAAATGCGACTAAATTTTAACGTCGCGTCTACAACGCGCGTTTTTTCGCCTATCGTCCTCCCTTGACTATAAATGATAAAATGGCTATATAGTCAATGCGACCTAAATTCTTAAAGTAATAGTTTGTGTGTGACTGTTTAGCCTCATCATGTTACGGTCGCTTCCAATGAAAATAATTATATTTCAAAAAAAGCAATAGAGAAACAAAAAGAAAAAAAAAACACTAATTCTAATCAACAAACAGTAACGAACACAAGTTTCTATTACGACTAAGAAATTTAAAAAAAAAAAACGAAAAATAGCCACAAATAAACAGAATGGCACTTAGTGATTCACTGTCGAAGCGCTAGTTTGTATATGAAATAATTACTTTTGCAAATAAACGTAATCATCTTGCTGTTATGTTTGTATGTATGTATGTGTTTTCTTAGTGTCCGGTATTGTACTGTAGTGCGTCTGCGGATATGTATATCGTAATAAAATTATTTCTTTTTCGTTTCTGGTGCTATATCTCTGTGAAATTTCAGTCTTAAAAAAAACAACCTAAATAAATAAATGGAAGCCTCCTTAGCCAATCATAAATCTGTGTATATAAAAAATTTTTAGTTAGAACGTTATATATTTTTTAATAAATTTGATTTAGTAATCTCGAATATACCTAAAACTGAGATCATGCAAATAGATACAGAAATTAAAAATAATGCCGGATATTGAACACAACGTGAAAATAATATGCCTCATTTGTTTAGTTTATATACGAACAACGTTCGATCAATATAAATTTAAGCCTAAATATATAAATTTACAGCACCAAGATTTTTCATCTTTTCTCAAAATAGTTTCATATATTCGCTTATTGTCGCACATAATTTAACATCGTGTTAAAAGTTCACTAGGAATTAATTATACCGCAGTATTGCACGCACTCAAGGGCAAAGGGCAAAGGGTGCGATGTGACACATCTTCCGCGGTCCAGCCCAGCTCTGGAATGTTCTCGTGGGGATGGATCATCGCCGACCACACTCCCTACGACTTCAAAGAACAAATGAATGTCCTAACAGTGTACATACTCTTTAAATCATCAACAAAATCTGAACTCTATATCTAATCATTTTCCAATAAATAAGGACGTAATCATGAAAATCTATTCGTTAATAAAGATCATATAAACTGAAAGAGCCAGCGGAAGGATGTTGTTAGACATTGAATTGGTCTTTGAATTTGTAGAAGTCGATGTTGTGGTGGGGAGGGTTGAGTTTAGGCTCCGGCGCAGTGGAGAGGTTCTGCGGCTGGGAGAGGGGCGGCGGGTTGCGCTGGCGACGGTGGTAGATGCTCTTGTGGTTGTTGAGCGAGTTGAGCGTGCGGAAGACCTTGTGGCAGAGCGTGCAGCGCGCCGAGTGCAGCGGCTGGAGGTGTTGCTGCTCCGTGTGGCGCTTGAGGGTCAGCCGCGTGGACAGCAGCTTGCCGCACACCTCGCACCGGTGGCCCGCGCCCAGGGGACCCACTGCGCCACACATAACAACCAACATTAGCGCATTAGTCAACGGACGAGGCCTCGCGACCCGCCCTCGGGAACCAATCGGCACCGGGTACCACTCAGGCGCGACGTTACATTAAGTGACAGCTANCTGCTCCGTGTGGCGCTTGAGGGTCAGCCGCGTGGACAGCAGCTTGCCGCACACCTCGCACCGGTGGCCCGCGCCCAGGGGACCCACTGCGCCACACATAACAACCAACATTAGCGCATTAGTCAACGGACGAGGCCTCGCGACCCGCCCTCGGGAACCAATCGGCACCGGGTACCACTCAGGCGCGACGTTACATTAAATGACAGCTACGGCTTGACTAATGCGCTTTCAATACGAACATCGTTGGTGGTTATGCGTGTACCGATCGTGGACGTCCCAATTGGTTCCGAGCGTCGGTCGCCCCGATTAGCGTTAGCGTTTAGCGTTTAGCACCGATACATACATACAGATTAGGTAAAGGTTTTGCGATGCGCATGCATAACTATGCTATTTACAAACGTTAGGAACATGTCGCGACAGACTGCACAGTTACAATGTAAACTTAACGATCTAAGGGCAAGAGTATGGCGAGAGTAGGTGGCTGGTTAGGGTGGCGGCCGCGCGGGGGGTCAGTTGACGGGGTAGAAGGGGCCGGGCGCGGGCGGCGCGGGCTGCTTGCGGTGGTAGATCGACTTGTGGTTGCGCAGACTGTTCAGGCTGGAGTAAACGCGCTGGCAAATGTTACACACTGGCTCCCTGGACGGTCTCATGTGTACGTTCTGAATGTGTCGCTTGAGCCTCGTCAGCGAGGACAGACTCTTGTTACAGGGGTCGCATCTGTAATCTTCTTGGGGGGTGCGGGCGCCACCTGGTCACAACACAAGCCGTTAGCCCGTCGAAGCTTCGAACGCACTTTTAATGCACTCTCCGTATAGCCTCTCTGAAAGCACCGCCACCCCCCTTACAGTTTGATGATAGCCATCGGGCGCGTCGTGCGACGCTAAGCAGTATTAGTAATATGTTTGTTCGTCTAAAACGCGACTAAGCTCTGCGATGTAGCGCGATATAGCGCGATGTAGTGATGGGTGTGACCGCCTGTTTGTCCGACGCACGATGCCTCTCCGACGGAACGTCTGGTATTTAAACAAAGCCCACACCACGTTATTGGCTACTCGACTCCTTCGTCCGATTTCGTTCGTGAATTTTAAATGATTTGTTCGATCGCTATTGTCATTTCCGAGGGCCGTGTAAACGAGCGTAATTCGATAGTGGTTTTTTAGAGTAAAATGATTCACGTACAACCGTAGCTGTTCCTCGGAAGACTAAATAAATATGGCGCTGGGTACGTGCGGCCGCGAGCGGGGCTTGTTTGATTTTCTCGAAAGTTAATTTTGTAAATTTCATCTTCTTGTTACGTAAACGTTATGATTGTAATGTTTTTAAATAATTATTTTTTTCGTTTCAACAACCAATCAGAAAATAAAGTGCGTGATACCGTTTGAGGTGTTTTTTTTTTATTTGTAACAAAAATGCACGTGGAGTGAAAGGGGAAAATGATGAAATTTTGAAAAAAAAAAGTAAAAAAAAAAAACAAGAAAACGAACAAAGAAAAGTAATGGTAATATAGAAATTAAAAAGAAAAGAAAAATAAATCCTAATACGGAGACACGGGAATGAGGGGTTCCTAGCGCATATTTCGTTCAAAACTATGTNTTTTTTTTTTATTTGTAACAAAAATGCACGTGGAGTGAAAGGGGAAAATGATGAAATTTTGAAAAAAAAAAGTAAAAAAAAAAAACAAGAAAACGAACAAAGAAAAGTAATGGTAATATAGAAATTAAAAAGAAAAGAAAAATAAATCCTAATACGGAGACACGGGAATGAGGGGTTCCTAGCGCATATTTCGTTCAAAACTATGTCAAGCTGGCATATCTTCTTCCATATTACACATTAAACTATGTTACAATACAATAACATGCACGCCGCATTGCGTTTTGGTTCAATGTTCAGAAAATACCGCATAGATTAAAACAGAGCGGTCAAACGTTTGAATTAAAATGACGAGAACTATCAACGCCTACGGGTCTCCATCGAACCATAACACAAAAGCTAACATTTATTTCAAAAATAGAACACAGAGCACAAATGAAGACACATATAGAGAGTTAGATATATAAATATACATAGAATATTTACATATACTACATAGGTCACGTGATTTGCCTCATACATTTAATTTAAATATAAAACCTTTAATGATATATAAACCTAATAATGACAGAGCAGAGAGGAAGCGGTGATGGTGGCATTCGACAGACAGTGCATTAAAAATATCGTTTCTTTCAATATATGTAAGTAATGCAGTAAGTTTGTTGGCAGATAAGCCGGCACTAACCTTGAGATGTGCTCGCCATTCCGTCCGAAGCGAGAGGACTCTGCAGACCTGCGGATATCACACCACGCTTAGTGCTAACAAATCTAATTTCGGTTAACGAGATCCATCATCAAGTTTTATTATCAGACCATCGCGATGACAACACCGCTGTGTTGACAAACAGGGATATGTTATAAATCTGGCTGAGCCTTTGCTCGCCCACCTGTTCTGGTGAAACTGGAAAGGCCTCCGGGCCATCAGTAAATATTCAATCATAAATGAAAAAAAAAAAAAATATTATTACTCTTCTGAAAAAAAAACTGGTCCGCATTTGAAAGGCCTTAATTGATTAATAATTGAAATTTTACTGGTGGTAGGACGTCTTGTGAGTCCGCACGGGTAGGTACCACCGCCCTGCCTATTTCTGTCGTGAAGCAGTAATGCGTTTCGGCTTGAAGCCGTTGTAACTATACTGTAACCACTAAACACCAGGTGGGCTGTGAGCTCGTCCACCCATCTAAGCTATAAAAAACACATTTGTAATTAATGAAGTCGCGGTTTCTTCGGGCTCCGGTATTCGCTTGACGCTAAGTGAGCTTTAAGCTCATCTATTCGTATAAACGAATGAAACAGTGCTTTACGACTCACGTTAGGTAGTGTTTGTTGTAAAAAACGTTATTTATTTAAGCACGTTGTCTCTAAGTAGTTGTTCGTCCATCACGATTTATCTCTATTGTTAAATCAAATATTTAAAATGCAAATAATTTTACTTCCAGCACTATACAAGACATGATATATTTTAAACGCCTAAAAAAAACAATTTCGCATATTAATTTCCTCACGTAATTATTGAGGATAGCAATTTTTTTTATTGCCCTTGTAGGCAGACGAGCATACGGCCCACCTGATGGTGAGTGGTTATCGTCGCCCATGGGCTTCAGCAATGCCAGGGGCAGACCCAAGCCGCTATCTACCGTTAAGTACTCTCGACAAGCCTCGTTTGAAGAAGGACATGTCATAGCACTCGGGAAATACCGTGGATGGGAGCTCATTCCAAAGTCGGATGGTACATGGCAAAAAATATCTCTGGAAACGCACTGTGAAGAAACGCAGTGGCTCCAGGTAGTATGGATGATCTCTATTCCGGTGGCGGGCGGTGCGATGGTAAAAACGAGATGACGGAATCATCTCAAACATATAATTGAGGTTATACAACATGCGGTATATTGATAATTATAATTACCGGCTAGTGTCGAGTGTTGAGCCAGTGCCTCCATTGTAAAGTTGTAGGAGTTAGACGGGTTGAAGAGCTTCGTGTCGGGGGGCGGAATGAATGGTGAGGGCGGCAGCTGCGGGGGAGGGGTGCGGTCTTCGGCATCAGCAGAGCTGCTACGCGACGGTGGACCTCCCTAAGACAAATTTAATTTAATTTATTTATTAGGCACACGATAAAAGATACACAAAAAAGAACAACAAGAGAAAAAAAATTCTCTGGCTTGCAAGATAAGCCATGTGCGCACGACTAAGCACGACCCGGTCATCTTGCGACGAAGGGCTCGACACTGAGTTTCTCGCCGGATCTTCTCAGTAGATTCTGCGAAGCACGGCTCTTGCTAGGGTTCGTCTTAGAAACGTCGTCAGGTTTGAGCCCCGTGAACTCACCTACTAGCTAAGGTTACGCTGAAATAGCCTCTCAAGGCTATCAGCATAGGTAGGAAAAAAATATATAAGCAAGACAAAAGTGCTGAGTTTATACACAATGTTCCTTACAACTATAGGATAAAACAACACGATAACGAAAACTAATCAACCTTATAATGTAAGGAATTAATTTTACTGACGATATGCATTAAACAATTTGAATTGGCGCGTAACCGCAACGATGCAACGCAATAACTGCAACATGGTCTTCTTTAAGCGTACACTCCATATTTAAAAATGAGTAATATTCTAATTCTAAAAGTATACATTTTTATTTTCATGAACAGTTCGAAATTCGAATTCAATAAACTTTTTTTGTGGCCAGGCCAGCATTCTAAAAGAAAAGTTGTTACTGTGTGACAATACTTATGACCTGACTAGGTATATTAATACGTGAAGCAAAAACTTTGTATCTCTTATTACGAAAATAGCGCGGACGGAGGAGTATGAAATTTTCCACACTTATAGAGAATATAGAGAAGAAGTGCATAATGCCAATATTTTTTTAAATAATGCATAAAAGATACATTAAATCAATAAAGAAAACATTACACACACTACCATGTATTTGACACACACACATATACTCTTTGTTTATTGTCAAACTTTTGTTATTGTTTAAAGTCTGTAGTCAAATTGAGAATAGGTTAGTAATGTTTATTTTTAATATTACGAGTATTTGTCTATAGTGTAGTCTTGGCGAAATCTGTAACAATAGTACCATAATAATGTTCAAACTTATAATTTCAATTAATTATAGTCGAATTTCGACTACTGCGGGCCCACTAGTTTTAATTAATCTTTGATGGAATTTCATTTATTTTTATTTTACAATTTTTGTCAAACAAGTCTAAAGTTTTTTTGTTACCTACATACATACATATACATATGTTGTTTATTAGATTCGTATTGAATTCAGAACAATGTTCAAAAGTTTCAGTGTTAGATTAAAATTTATGAAAAAAATATATAATAAATAAGTAACTGTATTTCTCGTTGGAGACATATATTTATAGGGGTAGAAGAAGGACATGGCATAGCTCTTCGGAAACCTCGTACAGGGACGTTCAGCTTAAAGAGAGAGGGAGAGAGGGAGAGAGGGAGAGAGGGAGAAAGGGAGAGAGGGAGAGAGGGAGAAAGGGAGAGAGAGAGAGAGTATTCTTTATTGTACGCCAAGTCGAGGGCAAAAGATCTCGCGGACTACTTACCTCCAGCACGATGGACCGATAAAATCTATGACTCACTGCAACATAAGTGATGGCTCTCACTCTGCGAAACATAGTGCCACATGGCGTCGCATCGCGAGTGCATCGGTATCGCAGGATTTGACTGATGCATGACCACGACCACTATATATTATATATATAATATATATCGATGAACCCAGATGTTCCCGGTGGAAGGAGGTGCAATGGTAAAAATGAGATGGAGGGATAATCTAATAAGTCCTTCAGGTTGACACAGTCGTTTGACAATGCAACAGAGGTTTCGACCTCACGTCTCAAGGGGGGAGGCGGTAATTTATACTTCGGTAACCATTTTAACACCAAGGGTGCAGTGAGCTCATTTACCCAGCTACACAAACATGGAGCCTCAGAATACTATTTATCTGTGTTATCTTGTCATAGCCTTCATTATATACATATGTACATATGTGGGTACACATAAGTACATATGTTTTTTATAGTAAAACTGTATTATCACGCAGGTTGATAAGAGTATCAAATAAAATTAATTCTGTGCTTAGAAATAGCTTAATATTTTTTTATTGGTTATATCAAAAACGAAATCAAGGACAGTTTAAGGCTTTGCTTAAACTAATGTATATATGAAAAAAGGCGAAGTGTTCTTTTAATTTTAAAATGTAGTCTGTGCCTATTACGCTTAAAGCGACTAATGAGTTCATAACAAAACGATGAAAATGACTTCAACATTCCGTCAAACTTTCTTGCTTCGATTCGCTGGTCAGTCCAACTGGCCGTGAGAGCGATAAAAATAAATGAATTATCGACACCGGATACTTGGTCGGTTCCGGGTAGAGCTAGACGTTTCTACGAGTACAAACCAAAGGGACGGATTAAGGTTACCAAAAAATATTTTAAAAATTTTAATTGACCCAAATTTTTTTCCCTACCCATGCTGACAGCCTTGAGAGACTATTTCAGCTTCACCCTAACGTGTAGGTAAGTTCTCGGGACTCAAACCGGAAGTGTTGCTAACACTGGCCCTAGCAAGAGCAGTGCTTAGCAGAATCTACCACCGGATCGGAAACGCGACCCACTGAGAAGATCCGGCGAGAAGCATTTAGCATTTAATCTCACATTTACCATTCTCATTTTACTATTTTCTTATTTTGTTATTGCGCTTTACTTTTCCAGATATCTCTATATATAAAAATGAATTGCTGTTCGTTAGTCACGCTAAAACTCGAGAACGGCTGAACCAATTTGGCTAATTTTGGTCTTGAATCATTTGTGGAAGTCCAGACAAGGTTTAAAAGGTTTAGATAAATATGAAAATGCTCGGAATTAAATAAAAATATCAAATTTGTTTTCCCTTTGATGTGCGGGGGGCACATCACGGGGCACATTGGACGGATTCCTTTTGTTTGTTTTAAGTTTATTTTATACAAAAGTTTAGGTCTTTTATTTATCGATTGAGGCACTACGAAGTCTGCCGGGTCAACTAGTCTATATATATAAAAATAAATTACTGTTCGTTAGTCTCACTAAAACTCGAGAACGGCTGCACCGATTTGGTTAATTTTGGTCTTGAATTATTTGTGGAAGTCCAGAGAAGGTTTAAAAGCTAGATAAATATGAAAATGTTCGGAATTAAACAAAAATAACAATTTTGTTTTTCCTTTGATGTGTCCCCCGGCGGACGGATTCCTTTTGTTTGTTTTAAGTTTATTTTATATAAAAGTTTAGGTCTTTTATTTATCGATTGATGCACTACGAAGTCTGCCAGGTCAGCTAGTAAAAAACAATTTACAATGGACGACTAGAATTAATCAACGTGTCAATAAACCGTGTAAGTACATAACTTTACGGTTTTTATTATTATATATTAGTAGTTCCGACTCAGACAAATAATAGATATTTGTTATCATTATATTTTAATTAGTTACTTTTCTACAACCGTTTGTTTTTCTGTTCGTAACAAGTATAATTATATAAAAATAAACAGTAAACTCATTTTGAATGAACTACATAATATATTTACGAAACATAGCCTACCGGTTGTCACTTCAATACTTCCCTGTAACCATTTTAATGATGCGTTTGTTTTGTCTAAGCGCAGTAAGTTTATTTTTTTATGTTTAATTCTTTTAGGAAGCAGACTGAAGTTTGATCATATCTAATGTCACGCGAGTAGCTAGGCTTGTGCTGAACTGTAGTCTCTCAGCTCAGATTGCCTTGTCGAGTCCGGTTCGATTTCCGGTCGAAGTCAGTAGTTTCGTGAAGACATTTGATATTCGATTCTGCTTGTGTGTGTCACGTTCTTATCTCGTATGCGCGTTACTTAGCTAAGGTTGATAACGTTCAGCAATAATTAACACCACTTTTACGATGTAATCTCCAGTTTTTTTTATTGTCATTATGTCATTTCCGATGTTTTGAATATTTTACAGTTTTCGTGGTCACGAACGTCTAAGGTATTATGATAATGTAATGCCAATAAAAAACGAGAGATCAAATCGTAAAAATAGTTTAAATTAAGGAATTATTTACATAGATCAGATCTGCAAATCTCGATTATAGGATAATTTAGTCTTAAGTATTGACAAATCAAATCAAATCAAATAAAAAATAATTATTATTCAACATAAATGAAAGTACATACCTACTTGTTGAACGTCAAAAAGAACTACCGTCAATTCACAAAAATAAGCCTCCGTCCTGAGAAGAACTGGCAAGAAACTCAGCGGCCATGTCTTTCGTTTTTATATTAGCTTTTAAATATTAGATTTTAGGCAGTATCTCTATGTGACTTAGACGAAGCTCTAGTTCAACCAGAAATCGAGAGGACTTGAGGCTTCGAAGCCCATCTAATTGTCATCGTCTGCAGATACCATAGTCTTCGATCATAGAAAAAATCTACACCGCAGCCTACTGCCGACTGATCAGTCTAGATAATAATCTGGATGATGGTATCTACCTCCAAAGACAAATGACTTAAGCGATGGTGAAATCAAACGATAATAGATGCAATTACCTGGAGGGGAAGAGCGAAACTAGAAGATTATAGTTATAGAAACTCACGATTGGTCGGTGATGAGTATGCGGCGGTGTGTCATCCGTGCAGCGATCTATATCAGGGTTAGAAGGGCATATCATGTCGACCGGTTCGTTTTTCACTTCGTCCATCAGCCTCGGGGAAGGTGACGAGCTGCTATTGGAGATGCCGTTTCCGTTGTTCCCCTGCTCGTGACCCCTGCTGTTCAGAATCGAGTGGTTCTTGGTCGAGAAGTCGGCGGCGTGCATTTGTGGGGATTCTGTGTTGTTGTTGTCGTGACGTGGACGCTTTATGACGTCAGGGGAGTTGTCAGTGGAGCTCATACGTCGCGGTGGAGGAAGAGGAATGCGGCGCATCATGGGCGGGATGCTGGATGAGGGTTGAAGAAGAGCTTCCTCGAGTTTGTCAGGGTAGGGTTGCGGTATATGGGTAGAGTGGGCCGGGTGGGGTGGCGTGTGGGGTGACGGAGCTGCTGACGACCGCATGGTTTGCAGCAGGGGCTATTGGGGAAAAGAAACGCTTTAATTAGTTTTTATTCGTTTTAGCTATGATTTATACCGACAGCTCTTTTCAATTATATTAATATGAACGTTTTATGATGTCTGCTGACATTAGGGGCATACGGTGTCATCTAATTATTCGCAATTATCTATATATTAATACGTGAAGACGGAGGAGTATAAAATTTCCCACACTTATAATTTATATAGAGGATTTAATTTATATAGGATAGGAATGCATTTTTTTTTAATAATGCATAAAAAATACATTAAATCAATTAAAAAATCATTACACACACTACCATGTATTTGACACATACTCGCATATAAACTCTTTTGTTTATTGTCAAACTTTTTTGTTATTTAAGGTCTGTGTTTAAATTGAGAATAGACTAATATTGTTTATCTTTAATAAATCTGTGATTAAAGAAATATAGTCTTTGATAATAGAACCATATATTAATGTTTAAACTATTAATTTCAATTAATTATAGTCAAATTTCCACTACTGGGGGACCACTAGTATCTATAATAGTGTGAAATAGTTTGAACTATAAATTCATCGTCTCCTGATACATACCCCCTGGGCAGCGTCATTGTGTGTGAGACCGGAGACACGGAGCACCTCAGCTGTCTTCAGGAATGAGGACAAGCTGTGCTGGTGAACGTTGACCTCGCCGTGGTAGATGAACTCGACCAGGGCGTGAAGGTCTGTGTACGCCACGTCTTGAAGCACGATCACTGGATGCTTGCACGGCGTGGACTGACAAGAAACGGACCGTGTTGAGTCAAAGGAAGGAAGGAAGTAACTTACATCTATATACCGTCTGGAAACTACAAAACTGTAGACAAGTAATTTTAAAATAAATTAGATCTTCATGTTTACAGTAAAGATTTGTTTAGACAGATGGACAAACTCACAGCCCACCTAATGTTAAGTGGTTACCGGAGCCCATAGACATCTACAACGTAAATGCCGCCGCCCACCTTGAGACATGAGTTCTAAGGTCTCAGTATAGCTACAACGGTCGCCCCACCCTTTAAACCGAAACGCATTATTGCTTCACGGCAGAAATAGGTAGGGTGGTGGTACCTACCCGTGCGGACTTCCAAGACGTCTTATCACCAGTAAATTAGTTGTGAAAAATAATAATTTATTGAAGTAAGTAGGACAACTGTGACAATTCATTAAATTCGACGTTACTCGGAATGTCAGTTTGGCCGAGTGGTCTAAGGCGCCAGATTTAAGCTCTGGTTCCCGAGAGGGAGCGTGGGTTCGAACCCCACACCTGACAGCGTGTAAGACATTGAGCATGTTTTGTCCGTTTTTACACGATTTTCTTTTTTATTAAAACATTTATCAACTAGTTTCTTTTCAAGTTTCTTCTTGATGTGAAATTAAGGTAGAGATGATAAGTGACCATTCACTAGAGGTTCTTGTACTGATAGTAGCACGTAGTTAGACTTTGCCTCGGTAAAAGAAAAACGTAAAAAAAATATTACACGTGCTTAAATTAACTTATGGTTTCCCTGAAAAATTAACTTCAAATTTTCTCGTCAAAAAAGTCATCAAATGAAATTGATGCTTGATAGAAAACCCATAGTATTTTTATAGCTACAATCGGCAGATGAGTTCATAGCAGCACTGGTATTAAGCGCTTATCGAATTCCGTCCTGGTCTCATCTTCATCTTCTAAAATACATAGGTCCAAACGCTAGGATATATTAAATAGGCACTAGCACGCTCTACCATAAATACAAGACTATTATTTTATTTATATATTACACTTTATGTAAAATTTACATTGGCGGACTTAATGCCTAAGGCATTCTCTACCAGTCAACCAAGGGTAGTGCAGAGTGAATAGTGGTAGGTGCAATGAAATTTATACTAAATTACAAATACATACACAAAAAAGTATATAAGGACATCTCGACGCTTGAAAGGCAAACGTGACTAAGCGACAATGCGTGAACTTTACAGTAGACTGATTCAAAGTTGAAATACCTGAAAAAAATTCTATTTTAACGAATTTAGCTGTAGGATTGAAATGATTTTAATAGACATAGAATATATTTTTTTGCGCTTCGAATATGGTTATTGCCTATCATTTATTTACAAAGCAGTTATTGTCGCTTAGCCACGTTTGCCTTTCCAGCGTCGATATATACACAATCACTTATACATACATACATACATACATACATACATACATACATAAATAAATTAAACTGTTATATAATATAATTATAAATTATAATAATACTATTCATAAATTTACCTTCAATAATTCTCTGAAATAAGGGCTGCAAGCTGACAGCACGACTCTATGAGCTTTGAGGCTTTTCCCGTCGCAGGCGAGCGTGACGTCGACGAAGTCCTCGTCGTCGCGAAGGTTCTCGAAGGCGCTGGTAATACTGCGCTGGTAGTTGTTCCATCGGAGACAGAAGTGTTGCGTCTGACTGTCCACCATTTTGACTGTTTCACTTAATGAGTCATGTGTAAAAGGCGACCTGGAGGAAACGTAAGACAAGTTTACTAAGTGAAACTAAGTTAACTAAGTGAAGTGAACTTATATCCCAAGGTGGGTGGCGCATTTACGTTGTACATGTCTATGGGCTCTAGTAACCACTTAACACCTGGTGGGCATGTGAGCTCGTCCACGTATCAGAGCAATATAATAATAAAAAAAACTCTTCACAATCAGACACAAGGTACAATGTGGCCTCGAGTTGTGTGCTGAAAGCTAAGTGAGATATATCAGCATACTCAGAAATTGTCACAAATTAATCGGGCTTCTAATTGAACTTGGATCCCGTGATAACAATCTAACCATTCCACCAACGAGGCGATCAGTATAAGCGCTACGGGCTATCGACATGTTAGCATTGGTCTTTTTTGATATTAACTTATCTGTTATAGTCTTATAGATCCACAAGGAATTGATTCAATTACTTTTTTAGATTTTATTTTCTATTGACAGTTGCGAGTTTTCAAAATAACTTTTATTAAATCCACATTTCTAGCCGCTTCTGACTGAGGTGTTCCGCGTACATTTCTCCAGTGTTTCTTAAAAAATAAACAGACAGTAACACAGCGCAGATTATAAGAAAACAGGTCATTTGATAAAAGAAATGATGTATCTTTGTTGCACATGCACACACATACAAATAATATTAATATTTATTGCTTTTTAGTTGTTATTTTTCCGTCGCTCCAATTATGTTATTTATTTTGCTAGATTATAGAGAATTTATTACATTTCTTCTGTCCTCCTAGTGTCGTTTTCAAATTGATTACTGATATAATATTATTTGCGTCTAGAGTTCGGTATAACCAGTTAAGTATTAAATTAATATTGGTTATACAGAACTCTTATCATCGAGCTTACCATACCAAGACCTTAGAACTCATGTCTCTTGGTGGGTGGCGGCATTTATGTTGCAGATGTCTATGGGCTCCGGTAACCACTTAACGCCAGGTGGGCCGTGAGCTCGTCCACCCATCTAAGCAATAAAAAAGCTAAGCATTCGTTTAGTCCAATTAAAATAGTTAAAATTTATTTAGATTAAATTTTTTTTCGTTTTACTATTTACGATGTATCGAAAAATGGTGTGAGACATCGACCTCATGTTTCGAGGCAAGCTCCGAAAAATCTAACTGCGGATAGATAGTGAGCGAATGCGATCATCTAATCCAAAAAATCTCTAGCTTTTGTTGATATGAGTACATGCGTAGTCACAAGTTTTTATGTGAATAAAAAATAGAGAACCTGGCTCGCCAATTTGCCATTCTGTTCTAATATAATTAGATGATTTCAATCTGAAGTCTCAAGCTACGTAGTGGAATCCGCTCTGCAATTTCCATGAGTTCCGGCGATCCTTTAGCGCTGGACCAAACGCAAGTTAGTGTGCTTGTCTAAGCTATTAATAAAACTTGATATATTTGTCAGTAATTCAAATAAGACTAACTGCACCTTAGAGAAAACTACACCCTATACTAATTGTACACAAATGAAGCGAAATGGGTTTGTGTGTGTGCTACTACACAACTGGATAGATTTTGATCAAATAATTAGTGTTGCATAACCGACATTGCGTTTTTTTTTAAATATCACAATACTGTCATGTAGCATTTATAAAGTTATTGTGTCGTCGTGGCCTAACGGATAAGACGTCCGGTGCGTTTGTGTTGAACGATGCACCGGTGTTCGAATCTCAGGCGGGTACCAATTTTTCTAATGAAATACGTACTCAACAAATGTTCACGATTGACTTCCACGGTGAAGGAATAACATCGTGTAATAAAAATGAAACCCGCAATATTATGATTTGCGTAATTACTGGTGGTAGGACCTCTTGTGATTCCGCGCGGGTGGGTACCACCATGCCTATTTCTGCCGTGAAGCAGTAATGCATTTCGGTTTGAAGAGTGGGGCAGCCGTTGTAACTATACTTGAGACCTTAGAACTTATATCTCAAGGTGGATGGCGCATTTACGTTGTGGATGTCTATGGGCTCCAGTAACCACTTAACACCAGGTGGGCTGTGAGCTCGTCCACCCATCTAAGCAATAAAAAATATATAAAAAACACGTTTCAGTAGTATTCGATAGACAGGGTTGCTAGTTTCCTGAATCGCGCTATGATTATGTTACATGGCTTCTAATGCGTTAAGCGCTTAGTTAGTATCTATATATTAATACATGAAGCAAAAACTTTGTTCCACTTTTTACGATAATTACGCGGACGGAGGAGTATGAAATTTTCCACACTTATAGAGAATATAGAGAAGGAGTGCAGACAGCAATTTTTTTTTAAAATTATGCATTCATAATACATTAAATCAATAAAAAAAAACATACACACACTACCATGTATTTGACACACACACATATATGTACATATACTCTTTGTTCATTGTCAAACTTTTGTTATTGCTTAAAGTCTATGGTCTAATTGAGAGAAGGTTAATATTGTTTATCTTTAATTTTATTGGTCTATAGTGTAGTTTTGGCGAAATCTGTGATTATAGAAGTATGATAAATAGTCTTTGACAATAGATCCATAATAATGTTCAAACTTATAATTTCAATTAATTATAGTCGAATTTCGACTACTGCGGGACCACTAGTAATTGAAATAGAGCGAAGTCGCGGACACAGCTCGTCATAGAAGAAGACACAAGAAACAAATACAATTAACGAAAATAAATATTTGCAAGCACTATGTAAATTTTTCTTTCGCAATCACGGTTCGAGTTTTTTGGTAGGAACTGTAAAAGTTTTTCATTGTGAGTGCCCGAGGATCTGTGAGAGCACGCGAAGCCCCTAGAATTATTCATAAAATGAAAAGCCCTACAAACAAAACTGTTTTACGTATATTTGTTAAACATAATTACGCGGCCACAGCAATTACCTGATCAAACTAAGGGGCTCTGGTTTTAGATGAATATCTGATGTTCCTCATCCGTTTCCTCGTAATACGAAGCGCCTTATCATATTCTCGTAAATAAGACATCATTCGACTCTAAGCACTTCGCGAGTGAAAAGGCATTTTCGTTATTAGAGCAGTTATTTAGATTGAGGACTGGTTGAATAATTTTTGTCATTGACTAATTTAGAGACAAGATTAAATTTTAGATTTCCGCTGTGATCAGCGAACTATTTCTACTAATATTTCTGACAAAATCCTACTAAATTCTGTCATCGCGTGTGACTTCACAAAGCGAGTTAGAATCGCACTGTTATAGAAAAGTATGTGACTAGTAGCGTACAATATTTGTTTAGTCATTCATGTTGGCCCCAAATGACGTCACACGAAATGAGTTTGCAATTTCGGGAAACCGAAGCAGTTTGTAATTACATTTTTTATATGTCGGTGAACGATCTCACGGCGCGCCTGTGTTTATGTGGTCACATAAGTCCATGGGCAGCACGATACGGACGTCGTCACCCACCTCGTCAGTTACGGTTGAAGTATCAACCTCTCAGACCAGAATGTTTTGCCGGCTTGGCTGTAGAAATAGGCAGGGCGATACCTACCAATGCGGGCTTCCAATGCGCCCTACCACCAGCATTGAGGCAAGGCAGCATTGGGCCAAAATTACATTTGTCTAGTTCAAATCGTTGGTAATTTTAATTTTTATGTAAACATTCGTATTTCGTACGATAGTTTTCGTTCGGTGGTTACAATCACACTCTATTTTTTTTATTGCTTAAATGGGTGGACGAGTTCACAGCCCACCCTGTGTTCAGTGGTTATTGAAGTCTATAGACATCTACAACGTTAATGCGCCACCCACCTTGAGATATCAGTTCTAAGGTCTCAGTATAGTTACAACGGCTGCCCCGCCCTTCAAACCGAAACGCATTATTGCTTCACAGCAGAAACAGGCAGGATGGTGGTACCTACCCGCGCGGACTCACAAGAGGTCTTACCACCAGTAATTACGCAAATTATAATTTCAGTGCCGGTCGGTTAAAACATACTTCTAGAATGCACAAAATGATGCAAGAACTTGAATGTCACATACCAACAAGGTAATCTGATTATCTATTATTGTCTCCATGAAAACTGCCAATGGTACTCCATTGTCTAAAGAGTTTGTTTTCAAATCGGAATTGACGTTTTTTTTTTCGCGCCGCATCTCAATTTAAAAAGGCCTCTAATTGTATGGGCCGGTAAGAGTTGAAATCGATTACACCGGTCGTTGGGTTAGAGTTGTTGTGATCGTGAAACTATCGGAAAAATTGCCGACTCTGTCAACATTTCAGCGTGTTAGACCGTATTTTGAAAATCTTTCGGATATTGTAACGATTTGCGGTTGTATTTTAATATTTCTAGTTGATGCAGATAGACAAACTCATGGTCTACTTTGTGTTAGATGATTACAGGAGATTCTAGACGTGCTGGAGCATCAGAATGCAGTCAATTGTTATATCTGAAAAAGTCTCAAGACTACTTCTCAACAAAAATACGCTGTTTTACAAGAAAATCATTTTTTCTTACACAATTTTTAATCCAAATTTATTAAAATTTATTTTTTATTTTTTAGTTGGATTTTCTATAAAAGCGTATTTTGTTAGTTTTTTTAAACTATTATTTATTTTTAATTTTTTAGTTGAATTTAAATTTTTTCAATTTTTTTTTTTAATATTTAATTTTCATCGGTCGTTAATAAGTATGCTAAATTTTGAAAAATAATAATGAATTAACTAATTGAGCGAACTAGTTCACTGTAGGACACTGTGAGCTAAATTGAACGCTCCCAATTGCGATCGACTATGCTCAAGACTGCTCAATGGAAATGAAGCCGGGGGATACCCTTCTTCAAACATACTATCAATTGTTATCGAATTTGGCGTTCTCGGGCGCATACCGTGCAGCCGTGTTATATATGATAAAACGCATCAAAAAACCTTCACTAATCGCAGTTTCTAAGTTTTTATCTCTCGATAAGACAATCATATAAACAGAACAACTTTATGTATATAAATAATCATGTGACGTAAT